CAGACTTTGTCCTGCTAGTCTTTAATAGTCAAGACCTTCCATTGACTTCCCACCATTTTGGGAACTTCCTTTTATCAGTTTTTATCTGCTCAACTTTGTGGTAGCATGTGCTATTTTCTCTAGTGTATCTAGGATTTGACTTGAGCTAAAAGAATAAAAACTGTGAAACCAGTCTAAAGAATTAGTTGATAAATCTTTGTGATTTCTACACCATTCGGTGGATTTTATATAATCTTTGACTGTGATTCCTACAAAAAGGTCGCCCTACACCTAAAGGTGAGTGTCTAATATTAAATATAATTATTCTCTTACATGGCTTACCTATCGCTTAAGGCTGTTTATATGTGTGGCTTACACTAATCCTTCTTACAGACCTTCAATTTCACCTTCAACTTTAACTTCAACTTCAGCTTCTACTTTAATACTTATTCTACTTATATCTATCTGGGTATTTCTTTCTGTGGGATCTATCGACTTTCCTTCGGACTAATACACTTCCTTCCAAGCTTTCTTCGTGGTACTATCACTAAACTGCTACAGCTTTTGAACACTGCCAGCTAACATTCTACAAGGATTGGGTGCATGTTTAGCTAGTTTAGGAAGCCAGGTACCCCAGAACCAACCCCTACAGCAAATCGGCTGGATCTAGCCCTCCTTTTACAGACAGGCCAGAGGTACGACGCAATATTGAGGACGACGGGACAACAGAGATATAAAGTAGGACTATTCCTTATAGCCAAGGGCCCCATTTATCGTGGGTACCACATGACTTCAACAGGGGTCCACTAATTGTGATTCTACCTACAAAGGTTTTGAGATAATCGAGATAATTCACGTAATTTACCTTAGAAATTGATAATATTAGGGTTATATATAGAGGTAAAGCCATTTTATAAAGCTTACTTACAATTCTGGATTACCGTTTGTAACATTTAGGCCTATTTGCGGACGTGTACCTCGGATTGTAACGATAATTTGTAGATACAATTGTATGATATATATAATTATTATTTTACCTACTGAATCACGGCGTGGTATCTTTTTTTTTATATTCAGATTATATATATATATATATATATATATATATATATATATATATATATATATATATATATATATATATATATTTTGTTACTCTTCGGTACATCTAACCTCTGAAATAAATGTCAGACGCTGTCAAAAATTAAATTGAATTTATAAAAATTTGCGTTGTGTCTAAGAACCCGACCCTACTCTCCCGAATTTTATAAAACTGAGCTAATAAAAAGAAATAACCCTTCCATCCCCTATAAATCTGAAGGAGAAAAAATAATAGTTTTAAAAATAAGATATAAGAAGATATTTTGATTAACATCTTAAAAAAGTTTAAATTATTTTTAAGTATCTATTCTTAATAAAAAAAATATTTTGAATTTTTGTTACAATTGATACCAGTCTCCCCTATGTTCAAAACATTTTGAAAAACCTGTTTTGAATTAGTCCATGGTAAAACTATACTTGAAAATGATGCTATTCCCACTTTACGAAATAGTTAGGTAGTTTTATTTCTACTTCTTTCAAATGTAATGCTTCTACATACTAACACTCCATATGATGACTCTTATTTTTTTTTATTCTGAAATCATTGTTTTACAGAATTTCAAACAGTTCTGATAGTGTTTGCTTAAGAAGATCTACTAAGAAAAATAGAAAACTAAACAAAATGATTCATACTTATGCATAAGTTACTTGATGACTGCGCCATGTTATGTGAATTGTTTAACATTCAAAAAAGGAGATGCCTATATAAAATTATTTTAGTTTTTGGGTGCTGTTTTGTATCTGACTTTAGTTTTTATTTAGCCTTAGGAAGCTAAAAAAGGTTCTCTACATGTCTTCTCTTTTATGTCGTAACTTTTAACATTATATTTTTATTTAAAAATGACATTGAATTGAATTTTAGTCACTGCATTATTTATTATAAAACGTTTGAAAAGAAAAACGTTAAGAAAAACAAACAACGTTGATTTTTGCTCATCTAATCTGCTTTACGCTCAAGTGACATTTTCTGTAATATTTTTATTACATTTCGAGAACACTACAGTTCACTAATCCCGGTTATTGTAAACAAGTTTCGAGTATTTTTCGTAGTATCGCAAAACGAAAAATATCGCAATTGTGGAAGTTTAAAGAGGCGGAATCTAACATTACGATTTCTTTCAAACTTTCAAATGCAATTCTCTCGCAGGTTTGGAGAACGGAATTTTATACGAAGCTCACGTACCTCCAACTTTCTGGAAAGGGGATTTACTCCATGGGATTTCGATGTCGCATCGTGGAAATATTTATCGGTAACAAAGATTTTAAAATAGTTTAGCGAAATATTCGTGTGACGCTAGAGCGAGCATTATAACCGGTGAAACGTCAAGGTGGTGGAAATCAACAGCAGTAGGGTGAGCGATTTCATAGAAAATAAAAAAAAACATGCCATAAACAGAGGCATCATACAAGGAATTTGAAAGTATCTATTAAAGAATCAGCAATAAAGATTGATGCTACAGACAGTGATTAACTACAACTGTTAGACATGGTATTTTGAAACTTGTTGAAAGGCCATTCATTGCTAAATTTTTCTGGTTTCTCATAGTTTTCCATATATCTCCAATGATGGTATCTATATAAGAAGGTTCCTATAGTTCCTAAGTGTGGTGATTACATCAAAAGTAAAAAGGACATTCAAGACATCATATGCAATGAGGGAATTAAAAAAAATTAAGAAAAACGGAATAAAAGACAAAATATTATGCATTATTTTATCTTTATTTATGTTACAAAAAAACTGGTTTAAAACATTTTTACATTTTTTATGATATTCAATTTTAAATAAATTTCGTAATGTATTGCTTTGGCAATGATCTGATAATGTCATATCAAGACAGGAATACTTCTGAGCTTGTTAAATTATTGTGAAACTAGTATTTTAAAATATTTTGTTTGTTCTCAATTCGTAAAATAATAACAATTTAGTCATGCTACATATTGCTACGCCCGATATAATCAAATCAAAAGCTTTTATTCGTTTATTTGATGTAGTTAATTAAAATTAATTTTAGAGAAATGGTTAAATCCATGATTTAGAATCTTATTATTATTTTAATTGTCTATATATAGAGTGTACCATTAGTGCGTAATTGTTCAACATTTTAATTTGTGATATAGACACGCAAACAAGTTTTAGATAAAAGTTATATGGGTTTAAAAAAAATACGTATTTTAAAAATATTTTTAGATATGCCTGGCAAATAAAAATGTTTTTCTTTTAAATTAAACCCTGTATTTTATTTCAGTTTTAGAATCGTTTGGTAATACTGTGCTCAACTCTAGATTTTTTTTTAAATATTACAGGGTTACCAAGCAATTAATTTTTTTATGAAATTCGAGAATAATGCAGACCCCTAACGAATAGTGGCGATAGAACAGAAATATTTTATACAGAGTGTTTTGAAACATGTCTTAAATATGGCTAATTTTTAGTTCAATTTACTAGATTTTTTCAAGTGCAATACCCTGTATATTATTATTACATGCAATTCCTAATAAATTTACCTATCCAACGATACCAACTTGTTAGCTAACAACACATATACAGGGTGTCCCATCAGTGCGTAATTGATCGGTAGCTGTTTTATTATTGGAAATACGAAAAAAAATAATAATAATATAGAAGTTGTATAACCATATTTAACAATTGTTCCTAGATAGACAGGGTGGTTCATAAATGAAAAGCTGACCAAACCTATACATTTTTAAAGCAAAGCACCCTGTAGGTAGCTATACATATTTGATTGTTTTAACATCGTCAAACAATTTTATTAGACTCAAAACGTGAGGTTACGATTTACTAAATTTTTTAAATGAAATATCCTGTATGTTATACCACCTCTTAATTAATACAGGGTATTCCATTTGAAAATTGATAAAATCGTAATCTCACGTTTTGACACACCCTATACAACAAAGTAAATGAATGAAGTCAATTAAAATAGTTTCGTCAATGTGAAAACAATCAAATATATAACTATCTGAAGGGTGTTTTGCTTTAAAAAGTATGGTTTATGAACCAACCTGTATATTTAAGAATAATTGTATGGTTATACAACTTTTACATTTAAAATTTCTTTATATTTTCAATAATAAAACAGCTATCAATCAATTACGCACTGATGGGACATATACAGGGTTATGTGTTATTGGCTAACATATTAGTATCATTGGATAGGACAATGTATAAGGAATTTTATGCTAAAATAATAAACATTCTTGCATTTGAAAAAATTTAACTTTAAATTAGCCATATTTAAGACAAGTTTCAAAACACTCTGTATAAAATAAACCACTATTCGTTGAAATCAATGTAAAGCTACTTAAATTATGGTAATTTAATTTGCAGTCTGAATCATTCTCTAATTTCATAAAAAAATTGTTTGACAACCCTGTAATGTGTACTGTAATGTATATTATAATGTGTCTGTAAAATGTACTGTAATGTGTATTTTAAAGTGTGCTGAAAAATGTACTGTAAAATGTACTGTAAAATGTATTGTAAAGTAAACTATAAAGTGTAAAGTGTACTGTAGAGTGTATTTTAAAGTGTAAAGTGTACTGTAAAGTGTACTGTAATGTGTACTGTAATGTGTACTGTAATGTGTACTGTAATAGGTACTGTAATGTATTGTAATGTGTACTGTCATGTATATCATAATGTGTATTGTAATGTATACTGTAATGTCTACTGTAATGTATACTGTAATGTGTACTGTAATGTATACTGTAATGTATACTGTAATGTATACTGTAATGTATACTGTAATGTGTACTGTAATATGTACTGTGAAGTTTACTGTAATGTGAACTGTAATATGTACTGTAATGTGTACTGTAATGTGTACTGTAATGTGTACTGTAATGTGTACTGTAAAGTGTACTGTAGAGTGTACTATAAAGTGTACTGTAAAGTGTACTGTAAAGTGTACTGTAAAGTGTACTGTAAAGTGTACTGTAAAGTGTACTGTAAAGTGTACTGTAAAGTGTACTGTAAAGTGTACTGTAAAGTGTACTGTAAAGTGTACTGTAAAGTGTACTGTAAAGTGTACTGTAAAGTGTACTGTAAAGTGTACTGTAAAGTGTACTGTAAAGTGTACTGTAAAGTGTACTGTAAAGCGTACTGTAAAGTGTACTGTAAAGTGTACTGTAAAGTGTACTGTAAAGTGTACTGTAAAGTGTACTGTAAAGTGTACTGTAAAGTGTACTGTAAAGTGAAGTGTACTGTAAAGTGTACTGTAAAGTGTACTGTAAAGTGTACTGTAAAGTGTAAAGTGTACTGTAAAGTGTACTGTAAAGTGTACTGTAAAGTGTACTGTAAAGTGTACTGTAAAGTGAAGTGTACTGTAAAGTGAAGTGTACTGTAAAGTGTACTGTAAAGTGTACTGTAAAGTGTACTGTAAAGTGTAAAGTGTACTGTAAAGTGTAAAGTGTACTGTAAAGTGTACTGTAAAGTGTACTGTAAAGTGTACTGTAAAGTGTACTGTAAAGTGCACTGTAAAGTGTAAAGTGTACTGTAAAGTGTAAAGTGTACTGTAATGTGTACTATAATGTGTAACGTAAAGTGTACCGTAAAGTGTACAGGGTGGGCAAATTTGTATCGAGGACGGGAGGTCCATTTTTCTATACCATTTACATTAACGAGATTCTCTATTAAAACATCGAAATTTGCCCATCCTGTACTTGAAAGTTATGGGAAAATATTTTAAATATTTAATACGTTAAGTGGTTTTTAGATCACCTTTAATATTCGTAATTTATTTATTTTAGAAAATATTGTATTTCTTAAATTTGTAAAAAGTGTTTTCTTAGTAATAAATAATAATAGTAAATAGGAGGGTTATAAGGAATGTAACTTACTATATTAATTTAATTTCTGTAAAAACATAAAAAACTAAAACTGCTTTCATGAACGTAAATATATTGAAAATACCTTTCTAATGAGGTATCACATGACCCTACTTTTTATTAGAAAATTTAAAGATAGTAACGCCCTCTATCTTACGTCTCAAATAGTGCATCTTGTTATAACAAAAATATCATAATTTATCTCTAATTTTGCCTCGTTTTTGTTTTATGTATGTTCTTTCATTTAGAAGTTAGGATGAGGCGATGGAGGAGGAGGGACAATTTACAACCTGTGATGGTTGACGCGGGTTGCTCAATAACAACGCTCACTGGGTGCAATAGTGGCACATTTCCAAAAATTACCATTTTTAGTAAAGTGTACCATAACACTCGGAATTTTTTGTGTTACAAACCAAGATTAGTGGCATATGTTTATTTTAGTCTGGTACCGCTAGATAGAACTAGTGCCACTATTGAATTTTGCGCGTTTGTTAATGATGACGCGGCAATACCGGCACAAAAACTCAGCGTGTCAGTGATCATCGCAAGGGTGAAGAACGTAAAAAGACCCAACAGTGGCATATTTTAAATATTACGATAAGGTAAGTTAAATTTGATAATTTTAGTGAAACAATAATGGCACATTTGAAGGTATGCCACTATTGTATAATAAAATGTTATGAATTCTAATATTATTGGATCAATGTAAATTGTCCCAGTATTGTATATATAATTATTGGTATTTTTAAAATGTGCCCTTATTACTTGTTGCATTAAAGTAATTTATTTAAGTTAAATTGTATAATGTACCACGGTTGTTTTTTAAATATTGTTTGATTGTCCTCAATTAATTTTTACGTATTATGGATATAATTAATTTTTAAGTTTCTTTATATTTTTAAAAGCCTTTTTTTAAATACTCTAAATAATTGATAACTTAATAACTAGTTGTTTTTTTCCAAAATTAAGGTAAAAAGTTATAAAAGTAGCAATAATACAATTTTATACCTAATTTAAATACATATTAATATCAAACTTTCAATTAAGTAAAATAGTTGAGGTAAAATTTATAAATCCATCTTACAAATCGGTGATTTTCTCAAAACTAATAATTTTGTGATGTGCCACTATTGCCCCCAGTGAGCGATATTTTAAAAATTCTAAATCTAACTAATTTGGTATACAAATTACTTCAACAAATTAACCGCTTCTACGATTCTATTATATGATAATGAACCAAAAGAGTTTGTCAAACCGAACCGAAACTATCTCAACAAAGTTAAGCCCACTCGAACTTACTTACAACTAACTTCAATCTTATCAACAAACATCTTGCAAAGTTAGCTGGAAATGGAGCCAAATAGCCCGGCCTTTGCAAGGCTGATTGAAATCATCGTCTTTTAGAGAGGTACAAAGAATTTATTATCTTCTATTATGGGTCGCAGGTTTCCTACGTAGTTCAGAGAAATCAGATCGGAATATAATACTGTCAGTATAATCAATTTGATAATGTGTCCTATAAGAACCGGACTGCGAAGTATAATTTTCATTTTAAACTTTTTAAATTAGTTGCAGGATTTATTATTATTATTAGTAGTAGTATTAGGATTTATGTATTTACTAAATAAGTAAGTTATTGTCAAGCATTAGTTGTACTACACGTATTATACTCTATTTTACAGGGTAGAACATAAGTCTGAAACCCCAATATATAAATTAATATAATAAAATTAAATTGGGTACATAAATAGTAATACAAATACTGGACGTAGTGACGAATGTGCGCTCTTGCTAAATTTTATAGTTTTTCTTCGGTAAATCTCACTAGTAGATGATCAAAAAGAGAGCTGGAGCTTTATTTCCAAAAGTCATCACGAGATGGCGCTACCGGTCAGTGTAGGTAATTGAAAATTGGATAAAGGTATAGATATAGGTAAACGATAAAGAAAAAATCACACGCAGTGGCAAAGCCAAAAGGACCTAAGTCTATATCTGCGTTGCCATTGGTCCGATTTAAACATTGAAAACGGCGCTATGGAGGAGACGTGGCCTATATAGGGTATCCGCAGGGAAGGTATACTACTTTGTTTATAATTTTTGATTAAATGAAAGAGAATGGATCTTATATTGATAAATGTTTTATTTAATGTCGGCAATTATGTATAGAATATAATAGATAAATGTCCGCCTCTGTTAGCCTCACAAATGCGAGCCCTTTGAGCACATTTTTCATTACATTCTCACACATTTCACGCGGTATTTCATTAATTTCATCACGAATATTTTGTTTAAGTTGCTCAAGCGTTTCTGGTTTGTTTGCATAAACCTTGCTTTTCAGATATCTCCACAAAAAGAGGTCCGGAGCAGTCAAATCAGGCGACCGTGGAGGTTAATCAACATCACCATTTCTTGAAATAACTTGTTGTGGAAAGATGTCTCGCAGTAATTCCATTGTAATCCTGGCTGTATGCGATGTGGCACCGTCTTGTTGATACCATATGTTAATCAAGCCCAAAGCATGCAGTTGTGGCGTTAAAAAGTTTTCAATCATATCACAATATCGCTCTCCATTCACAGTTACCGTTACGCCGTTTTCATTTTCAAAGAAGTAAGGTCCAATGATTCCTTCTGACCAAATTGCACATCAGACTGTCACTTTTAATGGATGCAAAGGTGACTGATGAATAATTTGAGGGTTTTCCATTGCCCAGAACCGACTATTTTGTTTATTCACACATCCATTCAAATGAAAATGTGCCTCGTCACTCATTATGATTTTTTCATGAAAATCGGGGTTGTCATGGGCGAGTTGTAACATCCTATTGGCATATGTACGGCGGCGTAAATGATCTTGTGGAAGAAGCTCTTGTGTCAACTGAATCTTATATGGAAACAAATGCAAATCCTTGTGCAAAATTGTGGCCAAAGTTGTTCTTTGAAGACCAAGTTCCTGAGCACGCTCAGGTTGATGGATTGTTTTGAACACTTTCTTGAGCAGCAGTAATGTTTTCAGCCGATCTTGCAGTACGTTGTGGTCCATGCTTGGGCCTATCACCTACAAACCCTCTTTCTTCGAAATCATTCACTACACGATAAATAGTGCGTTTTGTTGGCACGTTGTTTCTCCCAAAAATTTCACGTAACTTTCTCATCGTCACAGTAATCGATGATTGATTTTGATAAAATGTTTTAACGTTTAAAACATGTTGGTTTATCGAATATTTTTCCATAATAAATTTGCCACGTGTCTACCTCACGACTGCCAAATATGAACTGTCAAGACTAATGTTTACCAAAATGGCGGCAAAACAAAGTAGTATACCTTTCCGGCGGACACCCTGTATTAACGTTGAAAAGAAAAATAATACGCAACAACAAAGTCAAAAGGGTCTAAGTCTATATCTCGGTTGTTATTGGTCCAATTTACATGAAAAAAATGGCATTATGATGGAGACGCGACATAGATTAACGTTGAAGAGAAAAATTACGCGCAGTTATAAATGCAAAAGGACCTAAGTCTATATCTTGATTATTATTGATCGAATGGGGAGCAGCACTAACGTGATGTAGTAGCATCGTTATAAGGAATAAACGGCATTATGTACTGCGCAGTAACAACATTGCCAAAAAGACCTAAGCTTATATCTGTGGTATTATTGTTCTCTTCAAACGGATCTAATGATTTTCAACTTAAACTGTCATTTAGCTGTCATTGACAATGAAACATCATGCGCATTAGCATTACCAAAAGGACATTAGTGTATATATTCATTATTATTTATCGGATTTATATGGAACAAAAGGCATTCAACATTAACTGTAATTAAGCTGTCATTGACAATGAAAAATCATGCGCAGTAGCATTGTTAAAAAGGTATTAAAGTACATCTCTTTTATTATTTTGTAAGAAGTCTAGCAAATGGAGAAAAAGTCGAAAGGACTTGGCTTATTTACTATATTTCTAAAGATTCTGTATTTTGTTTTTGTTGTAAGTTGTTTTGTAAAACACTTTTTCTGATACAAATGGAGTATCTAACACTTGTCTTTGCTAATGAAGAGACACGAAACGTCAATTTTACACAACAATTATACGAACACTTGGGTAAATTTAAAAAAAAAATTGGACACATCTACGACTGTTAATGCTCATCACCTGCGGATTTTAGAAATGGAAAAAAATATTGGCGCGACGTGCTGGAAAGAATTATTGCGATTGTTAAGTATTTATCTACACAATGCTTGGCATTTCAAGGTTCTTCTAAATTACTTTTCGAACACAATAATGGACATTTTCTAAAAGCTGTTGAGATGATTACCTCTTTTGATTCAGTGATGAGACAGCACGTTAGCTGAGTGTGTAACTCCCAAAAAAATCTGTTAAACTGTCTCATTATTTAGGCGTGCAAATACAGAATGAAATAATTGAATTAAATTTAGATATAAAAAATATTAGGGGACGGTATTATGATAATGGGGCAAACATGAAGGAAAAGCATGTTGGGCTTCAAAAACGCACTCTTGATGTGAATCCGAGAGCCCTTTTTGTACCTTGTACGGCTCATACTTTGAACTCAACAGTAAATGACGTTTCTAAGGTGTCAGATGCTACAATAAACTTTTTTAATCTTGTGCAAGAGTTATATAATT